CTCCACACGGTGAATTTTTCAGCAATTATCATTATTCACAATTCAGCAACATCATGGTATAATCACGAAGTAAGGAGAAAAGTTTTCCTGCTCTTTTAAAATCTGTCACTGCTTCCCACAGACACTTTTCTCCTTCTAGTCTTCTGCATAAACTGCCAAATCCAACTTTCCTGTATAAAGAGCTATTTTCAGCCAAGCTATTTCACTCCGACAGCACTCCCATGGGCRGATAGCAGTGGATTCAGTTAACATTTTCAGCAGAGTTATGAACTGGGAATTATCTCCTCTCTTTTCTAGACCTCTTCTAGCACTGGAACTCCYTTGTGGAGAACACCAGCCTCTCAAGGGCTGCATCACTCGCTCATCTGCTTCCACGTGGATGAAGGCAGCAATGAGCCCACAAGGGCTCAGCACACTCACCTGGGACCGCGGCCACTCGCTTTGCAGCTGGAACGGAGGTGGGTGACTACATGCAGAGCAATGTCAGCCGTTGGTGCTCCAGGACAGGTAGTATCTTAGTCCTCTAAACTCAGAACTGAGACCGCGGCGTGTTTTGCAGGATGTCCATGGCAGTGACAGCAAAGGAAGATCCAGATTACTCTTTTGAGCGCATAGCAGGCATGAAACCCCGGTGATGGACTTGGGTCCGTCCAAGCCAGAAGATACTCACCCAGCAGCAAGCAGGGAGGACGAGCAGACAGGGCGAGACGCGCTGCAGTGTGTGCTGAGGACCTTGGCCTCCAGACACGCTGCACCCCAGGCGCTCCAATGAGTTCCCTTGTGCCAACCCAAACCTGCTCCGCCTCTGCCCCATGGTGGATTATTTGACTAATTGTTTTTAAATGGAAACTACCCATTTCCGTGGCTGTAACCTCAAGGGAGACGGGACGGGCTGCGRATCATATGTCCTTTCTGTGGTGCTGATGTCAGAGAAGAATTTGGAAAATGAATGGATTCTTAACTTGCCATCAAATACCTGGACGGTCATGGGTTGGATTTTTCCATGATGGTACATCACCTTTGCATCCAGCACATCACGCGCGCTATTAGGAAACAGGATGGGATGTGGGATTGGAGGATTCTTTTAGCTGAATCCGGTCTATTTCTCTCATTGTGTGTCTCCTGTTCTGATCTGGTTCTCCTCGTAGTAGGATCTTGGTGTGATTTAGGAAACTTTTATGAAATCGTCACCAATYGCTTGATGTTTTGCATTTTCTCCAGAATCTCTGACTCAAAGAACACSACCATATCCCATGACCACGATGTTGCCTTTATCCCTGTGCGGTTGTGCCTCAGAAAAGCAGATTTGTCCTAGGAGAAACACCACCACCCTTTGGTCCAATGTCTTACCAGAGTCAACTCGATTGCATGAAGGGTTAAACCCGATCACCTGCTAACCCGAGTCAGTCACACATGCTGAATTTCTTTATTTCAATTGCAATAACCAAAAGCCACTGCATAACCTTCTGCTGTCACAATTTGCTATGGGATATCACCATAGTCAAGAGCATGTCCAAAGGAAGGAGAACGTGCCAAGAGAAGGACGCCTCTTTGTGTGCTCTTGTCTCTGTGTAGGCAAGGCGTCTTCCATGCTTGTGTCACCAAGTGACTTGGGGCTAGTTCAGAGAAGGAAGAGAGGAGGACGCTTGATCGTCTTTGATCTTGCACAGAATTACCCTTGTTAGCTCTCCCTTCTCTCATCTAACGAGGGAATTTCAGTTGAGGTCTTCTTTCCTTGACCGCAATTGTGGCGGGCAGAAAGTGGTGACTCCGCGCTGCTGCGGTCAGGGATTGTGTCGCTATCTTTTGCAAGAAACATAGCGAAGTCTCAGGTTTGACTCTGCAGAGGTGCCACAAGCCAAAAACCACCACTGTGAAGACCAAGCATGGATGGTTACTCACCCCTGAGGCACTAATGCAAAGAGATGGGCCACAGGCTTGGAGTTTCTTTACGTTTTGGAAGGAACTAAGTGAAATTAAGTGTCTTAATGTCAACAGTGTGATGATATCCCAGACTACCCCATTGCCAAAATCACAAGCATTTTCAGTTGCGTGGAAATACTGCACTTGGCCAAGGAGCAGAGCTGACGGCAACACACGGGTGAGCCCATGGATGGGGCCACCTTGGCCAGGTTGAAATATGTGGATCAGGAATTCAGGCTTGCAGGTGACAGTCTTGTGGTCGTACATACCACCTTAGTGGCCAGGTTTCATTAAAAATTGTGATGTTGGCAAGTCATTTAAGGATTGGAGGTGGAGCAGGCCTGGGTTTTATTTCCATACCCCTGAGGTGTCTCACTTCCGGAGCTACGGACATTAAAATCATATAAAAGGGTTCATATTGTGGCGTCTCTCAAATCAGCTCTGGTTTCTCCTCCTTGTTCCTGTTGGTGATTTGGGTAAGTCTCCTTTGGCTTTCTGGAAAGCAGGGCAAGGGGTCTGTGTGTGTCTCCCAGCTGTGTCCTCAGACGCAGAGCAAGAAGAGCTGGTGCTCCTGCACAGCACCATTTGTGTGTGGTACTTAGCAAATACCTGAGCGAGGTGTAAGAGCTTGTGGTGTCCTCCTCTAATGCTCTGTTGGCCGAGTGGTTTGCAGCTGTGAGCTTTCTCCGTTGGGAAGCTTTTCAGGGCAGCCGGGAGTGAACCAACCTCCCTCCTTACCCTGTTCTAACCAGGAAATTACGGGGTTTGCAGGGATCAAAAGGGAAGGCGAGGACTTCAAAGGGAAGAGTGGGAGGGAAGATAAGGAGTGGAGACTTGCTGGCTATGAGGGCAAGCCATGCCTGGAAGGGCGTCTGGATGGGAAGAGCTGGAAAGACATGAGAGGTGGGGAAGCAGCCTCCAAAAAGTCTCGTGGCGTGAAGCCTCCCCTGATGTCCTGCAGCCGAGGAGCTGCACGGGGACAGGGCGGCAGCAGCAGCCTTGCGGTCTCCTTTTTTGGCTAGGGAGCAGGAATTAGCACCGAGGAGTTAATCGCAGACTGAGGGCATGGACCTGCTGGCGCTGTCGTGCCTTCAGACCCTGCAGTCGCACAGGGCCCAAGGAGCAGAACTCTCCCATTTGGAGAAGAAGTTGTTTGCAATGTATGTGCGGGCAGGAGCTACAGCCTCGCCTAAAATGCTTTCACGTGGATTTCACGTGAAATCTGTGGATTTCACGCTGTTTTCCAAACCTTCCTCGATATTCTGTTGGAAGGAGTGTAGTTTAACCCTATGGACGAGGCAACCTCATTCAGGCTGGATGTCTCCATCTCCCACAGTGCTTGTTCCTTTCCTTCTTTCAGCCTTTCCCGTTCCTCAAAGATGTTTTGCCCGGACGAGTACCAGTGCAAACAGCCCTGCGTTGCTCCTCCTGTCTTCAGGCTCAGGAATTTCCCCCAGCAGAAATGCGTGGGTTCCCGCAGCACTGCCTGTAACATCCAGCACTTAACTCCATGCGCGGAGCCGTGTTGCTATGGTGGAGTCACTCAGTCCACCACCAAGTATGTGGACCTGGGCAGTAACATCAGTTGGACACAGTCTTCCAGGTGCCTGGACCCATGCAGCTGTGTGGGCCCCCAGTACACGACCACATGTGTGGATCCGTGCTGTGAGGAAGTCACCAAGTGCATCACCACGTGTGTGGATCCGTGCTGTGAGGTCACCAAGTGCACCACCAAGTGCGTGGATCCGTGCTGTGGAGCTGTGACCAAGTGCACCACCAAGTGCGTGGATCCGTGCTCTAGTCAAGTGACCAAGTGCACCACCAGATGCGTGGACCCATGCTGTGAGGTAACCAAATGCACCACCAAGTGTGTGGATCCATGCTGTGAGGTGAAAAAATCCATCACATGTGTAGATCCTTGCTGTGAGAAGGTCACCAAGTG